AAAAGTGTCACAGCATACTTACTAAAAATAGTTTATTCTAATTTTACCATATAATTATAAAATAGATTGAAATACAAGTATAATACTTATATTTCAGTGTTTAGTATACAGAGCAGTATAAACATTTCATTATATGATTTTTTTTACTGACTTTACTAGTGCTTTTTTTATGTAGCCTCTTGTAAAATCAGGGAATCTAGATTAGTTGATGTATCCCCTTACAAGATATCTGCATAATCCCAAGGTATGTGTACTTCTAGTTGAGAACCACTGATCCACACCACAAGGAAACAGTCTAGAAGCCCAGACCTACTAGCCCAAGTTCACTGGTATGGGTCAGCTGTGAGTGTGAGTTATTTGCTGTATAAACGTATTTTGATTTAGCTTTTGACCCAGCACTCTGGTGCTTCATGTGAACTGCAACAAGACACAACTGCTTTGTCTTTATGCCATTACTGTCACTTAAATAAAATGTGTCAAATTAATTAAATTTAATCTCTTCCATTGTCCTGTGTTGATTAACCCATTTAGCTTTGGTTTTGTAACATCTAACATGCAGGCACCTTGCTTTCTAAGCCCCCAGCCTCTCTATATAATGAAAGGGGAAAGTCAGGTAACTAAGAATGGGATTCAGAAAACCCAGCAATCTCACTGTTAGAAAATCAGAGCTGGAAGAGACCTCAGGAGGTCATCAAGTCCGGCCCCCTGTCCAAGGCATGACCAATCCCAACTAAATCAACCCAGCCAGGGCTCTGTCAAGCCAAGACTTAAAAACCTCTAGAGATGGAAATTACACCACCTCCCTAAGTAACCCGTTTCAGTACATCACCACACTCCTAGTGAAATAGTTTTTCCTAATATCCAACCTAGACCTCTCCCACTGAAATTTGAGACCATTGCTCCTTGTTCTGCCATCCATTACTATTGTGAACAGCCTTTCTCCATCCTCTTTGGAACCTTCCTTCAGGAAATTGAAGGCAGCTAACAAATCCTCACTCTTCTCTTCTGAAGACTAAACAAACCCAAATCCCTCAGTCTCTCCTCATAGGTCATGCACTCCAGCACCGTAATTGTTTTGGTCACCCTCCACTGGACCCTCTCCAATCCATCCACATCCTTTCTGTAGTGGGGCCGCAGAACTGGACATAATACTCCGGAGGTGACCTCACCAGAGCTGAATAAAGGGGGAATGATCACTTCTCTAGATCTGCTGGCAATGCTCCTCCTAATACAACCTAATATGCCATTAGCCTTCTTGGCTACAAGAGCACACTGTTGATTCATATCCAGTTTCTCATCTACTGTAGTCCCCAGGTTCTTTTCTGCAGAACTGCTGCTTAGCCATTCAGTCCCCAGCCTGTAACAATGCTTGGGATTCTTCTATCCCAAATACAAGGCTCTACACTTATCCTTGTTAAACTTCATCGGATTTCTTTTGGCCCAATCCTCTCATCTGTCCAGGTCACTCTGGATCCTATCCCTGCCCTCCAGCATATCTACTCCTCCCCCTAGCTTAGTGTCATCTGCAAACTCGCTGAGGGTGCAATCCATCCCTTCATCCAGGTCATTAATAAAAATGCTGAACAATACTGGTCCTTGAACAGATCCTGGGGGTATTTCGCAAAAAACTGACCACCAACTTGACATCAAGCCACTGATCATTACCCATTGGGCCCCATTACCCATTACCCATCCAGTCTAGCCAGCTTTCTATCCATCTCATAGTCCATTTATCCAATCCATAGTCCCTTAACTAGCTGACAAAAATATTTTATGAGACCGTATCAAAAGCTTTGCTAAAGTCAAGGTATATTACATCCACTGACTTTCCCATATCCACAGAGACAGTTACCTACCTAATCAGACTGGTCAAGCATGACTTGCCCTTTGTGAATCCATGTTGACTATTCCTGATCACTTTCCCCTTTTCCAAGTGCTTCAGAATGGATTCCTGGAGGATCTTCTCCATGGTTTTTCCAGGCACTGAGGTAAGGCTGACTGGCCTGTAGTTCCCTGGATTGTCCTCCTTCCCTTTTTAAAAGATGGGCACTACATTTGCCTTTTTCCAATCATCCGGGAGTTTTCAAAGATAATGGCTAATGGCACCGCAATGACATTTGCCAACTTCCTCAGTACCCTCAGAAGCATTAAATCCAGACTGATAGATTTGTGTATTTTTAGCTTTTCTAAATAGTTCCAAACTTGTTCTTTCCCCACCAAGGGCTGTCCGTCTCCTTCCCCTACTGCACTGTCTAGTGCCTTAGCCTAGGAGCTGACCTTGTCCCTGAAGACAGAGGCCAAGAAAACATTGAGTACTTCAGCTTTTCCCACATTATCTGTCACTACGTTTACTCCAAGGAGAGTATCTAAATTCTGAACAAGCACTCGAGCTTCTCGAGTGAATCCTTTCCTGACTTAAGATGCCTAGGTCAACTCAGTCCTTCCTCACAAAATGAAGTTGTTTCCCCCACTCTGGTTTCTGCACTTGTTCAAAATGTGAGTTCAGATTTCCTCTACCTAATTCTTTGCACCAGAAAGAGAATGACTATGGCCAGGTGATTAGAGTATTCTCTTGGAAGACCTGTATTTTAGAGTGGTCTTTATCTTTCTGTATGGATGACCTGACAAAATGTAAAACATACAATTTATGGCGTGTTACAATCTATTGTAGGGAAGAAAATCCCTATAATTCCTTATCAAAGCTGAAACATCAGTAACACTTGGAATTTATATTACCAGCTTCAATACATAGAAAGGCAACAACACAGTAGGCAGCTTTTAAAACATTGTTATTAAACTTACTACACATTGTATGAAAACTATCCATATAGAAAATATTAATAAGATTGTTTAATAGCACAAATGATCTGAACCACCTAATAAATTATAGAAATGCTAAAGTGGAGCCCTCTCTGAAGTAGCAGGTCAACTAACTGTTGCAAGGCCCTGGACAAGGAGAGAGTATTTTGGCCAAAGATCTAAGGGAAAACAAAAAATACATTTTAAAAAGTTGCTGTCAAATCTTTGACTATGGGCTCGTGATATCCCTAATCTCAGAAAAACTTCAACTACATGGAAGATGGTTAATGACTGGAAGAACTGCTCTAAGATCTGAATGCTATTTCAAATCTGATGTTTAAACCACTCCATTAAATATTTTATGCATAATTTACTGATATCAGTACGTTTGTGGAAACACAACAGAGCATGGAAAAGAACAGGCACTCAGACTGTGATCATGATAAACGTGTAATCTTTTCATGTGGAAAATTCTCCCTGGTGTTATTCTCAAGTCATTTTTTGCAGCGTCTACTTAGAGGCTAAGATCAACCCCGTCCATGAGCACATGTGCAGGGCAGACGCTGAATCTGCGCCACAGTCCAGGAGTTTTGACGTGCGACTGGCTACGGGACACAGCAGGTTGTGACAAACTGGCGCCTTCATGCCCTGTGCAGCGCGCTCGGGCCGCACTGCCGTAGCTGCAGGATTTCCGCTCGAGCATAGTCCTTAGGCACCTCCTTCTTCCCTGCTGTAATCTGCAGTCTCTCGAGCTATGCAGACGCTGAATCTGCGCCACAGTCCAGGAGTTTTGACGTGCGACTGGCTACGGGACACAGCAGGTTGTGACAAACTGGCGCCTTCATGCCCTGTGCAGCGCGCTCGGGCCGCACTGCCGTAGCTGCAGGATTTCCGCTCGAGCATAGTCCTTAGGCACCTCCTTCTTCCCTGCTGTAATCTGCAGTCTCTCGAGCTATCAAATACTGCGTGAGCACCGCTGCGCTCCGAGCCCCACCGCCAGGGGGGACCCTCGCAGCGCCTACCCGGGCACGGATGACGCTAAGCAGGCGCGAGCAGTGCAAGATCGGCTGGTCTCTCCTTAAAATGGTGTTGCGCACGCAAAGCCACGCGAGAGTGGAAATGGCGGCGCGCGCACCCTCCGCTTTGCAGGCTAGGAGCCGCGGCGGAGGGCCCGGCACCTCCACTGAGGTTTCGCGCATGCGCCGCATTCCTTTCCCCGAACA